GAGAGAGAGAGAGAGAGAGAGAGAGAGAGAGAGAGAGAGATGGAGAGACGGAACAAAATTAAATAGAGATGAAATGGACAGCATATAGATCACTGTTGGCTGAGTCAGCTGAACGAGTTGCGGTGGTGAGGCCGCCTGGCCCCTTTCAGACGACACCGTGTAATGAGCTGGCTCGCTCTGACTGGCCTGGCATTTGCCCGCTGCCAGCGAAGGTGAAAGGTGCTCACAGAGCGGCAGTGGCGATGAAAGAAGGCGAGAGGAGGGTGAGGGTGAGAGTGAGGGTGGTGGTGGTGGTGGTGGTGGTGGCAACAGTGATAACTTATTGAGGGGTTTGGGGGGTGGGGGGTGAGCGGATGAGTAAGGGCGTAACACACTTGGCAAGCCCATATTATTACATTCGCGTGAGGTTGAGGCACGCACTTGGAATAACAGACAGACAGACAAACATACAGACAAATAGATAGAGATATATAAATAGATACATGGAATAACAGACTGATAGATGTAGGAGAGTGAGAGAGAGAGAGAGAGAGAGAGAGAGAGAGAGAGAGAGAGAGAGAAGCTGTAGCCAAAGAAGAGATGACAATACATTTATAATGCGACTTCACAGCTTGTCTGCAACCAAGACGAAAATCGATGGCCATTAATTAATTGATGTACAGGGCGCAGTAAAGATAACACGTGAGGGCCTGGCGAATCACACACCACCACACAACAGAGACTACCACTACCATCTCAGGTGCGACTCCACGACTCACCTCAATCAGAACTGGAAAAACCAATTCCACCATTCCACAGTATTTTTGTTTTATCAACCACTGACGTCTTCGCTCGAAATCACGGTGCTGGCCAGACTTCAAGTCGCAGTTCGACTACTTTGATTTTGATAATTTAAAAAAACCTTTACAGCCTTGTGCATCTTGACAGTAATCTTAAAACAATATATATCATGTACATACATGCCTGGGCGGTAAGCAAAGAGGAAGAAGATTGCCCCCCATACTACTTCCCTCAATTATTCAGATCTTGACTACATGATATTATGCTCCAATAAAGATGAACGGTCAATATGTTTGGAATCAAGGACGACGTAAGGGTGTGGTTTTCAGGTGTGATGGGGATATTTTATTTTTTCCATTAGAGTACTTTTGGATTTTAAATTGGCGATTTTACAACCTTTTCTTCTAGGATTTTCAAGCACCGTGAGATCTTTAACGGGCACAAGGGGCACGCACGACCTCCAAGATTTATCGTCCTTATCCGAGAGACTAGGTGCTTGATCCAACCTACCTTACTTAAATTTAAAACTTGTAAATCCGGAAAGTGGTGGAGTTGAAAGAAGGAGATTGAGTAAGTTGGTGAGAGGGAGGATTTCTTTTTTAACTGAGAAAAGGGAAAGATTAAAGATGTTGACACAATAACTGCCATTTGGAGCAGAAAAAGAGCAAGAATGACAGACAGACGGTAAAACAGTGGGAAAGTAAAGACCTACAAGCGCAGCTCTCCAAAAGCAAACAAAGAAGTATACCCTAGAATTGCTATCATACGACTAATCAGTTACCCTAATGGCAATCCACCGCACAGTTATCAGGTTAATAACAAAGTCATTAACCCAGGGCAGCATCCGACTTGGCAAAGAAATAAAAGCAGAATGAATGTTGACAACATTTCTGTGTGCAGTTCTTCGAAAAAAAAGCAAAAACAATATAAAACCCAATAAAACAAAACAATACAAAACAAAACAAAAACAAAAACACAAAAAAACCCACAGCTACAACATGCAAAATGTACACATCATTGCCGACGCTTCGAACATCGATTTACCGAGGGGTTCACTTTCAGTAGGATTATCATCGTCCGGGGCGGGGGGTTGCTGAGCGACAAGTGGAAACCATGATGAAAAAGAAGCAAGTCAAGAAGCAAATGTGGAAGAATGAATAAAATGAGCTGAGAAACGGGAAAAAAGGGGTGGAGGGCGGGCAGGGCAATCAAATAGAGAACAGACTAAGAGAGACAGAGAGACACAGTTAGTTTAAGTGGAGGTTTTACTGCGCTCGCAACTGCATAACGTCATATGAGCGCCAGAAGATTTGAGGTGTTACAAGAGAGTCAATAGAGTAACAAACATAAAAAGAAGAAGGGGGGATATGGACGATAGATGTTTCATAGGAAAGAAGAAGCAAACCACACCAGAGCACCCGCCAACCACCCTCTGCAAGAG